TCTCTTGATGGTCCGTCCGTAACTTGACACAATATTCGGGGTTTCAATGTGATGTTGCTCTTGTTGTGAAGTCAAAGGGTCCTCTTCAGTTGCCAATCGAACTTCTTGTGTGGGAGATCGCTCCGTTAGAGGGTCTCGACATCTTATCTCGGGCGTTATCTCTAAATTGTAGAGTTTTTGAATAGGTCGTATTTTATCACCTGATGAAGTTTTCACTTTCGCAACCCTCACAAGTCCGTCTTTTCCTGGATAGAGTTGGATTATTCTGGTTAACGGCCAGTGTAGTCTCTTTAAACTCTCTTGTCCAATGAGCACCATGTCTCCCACCTTGAATGGTATGGTAGTCTTCAGGCGTCTCGTTTCTTGTCTCAGGAATCCAAAATATTCTATACGAAATCGTTCTCTAAGATCTTCTCGTACACGTTTGATATATTGATATTTGCGGGAGAGGGTCTGGTTATCAATCAAGTCCAGGTCTGGAACGCCAACCTCTCTGACCTCATGTAAGAACAACGAAGGTGTCAATGGAGCGAGATCCTCACTTTCTTCCGTTAGGTAGGTCAGAGGGCGTTTGTTCATCAAGCTTTCAACGTCACACATTACCGTGGAAAGTTCTTCATATCCCAAGGAGGTTTGACCGAGAATCCTAAAGAGCAATTGTTTCATCATTCCAATCAAACGCTCCCACCATCCACCCCACCAAGGAGCACCAGGCGGTATGAATTTCCAGGTGATGCTTTTCAATGTGGGATCACACTTCCGTCGGCCTCCCATTGGCTGCTTCGGACTCCTTCTTTTCCAACAGCATGGTTCTATTTCACCCCTTCCACAATCATGTTAATGAACAACTTTTTCTTCAACAACTTTTCAACCCAATAACCCTATAATTGTGGCGAAATACTATAACCCTTATAAAGGATCACAAGTGAAACATTGCCTAGGAAGACGCTCAAGTCTATATCCTCGCTTTGCACCTGGATCTAAGTATTTGTTTGCATGTGTAATACATAAAATTGCATATTCTTTAACCCCTAACCCTTTCCAACGCCCGCCAATAATCTCTTAGAATGTCAATTTTTTATCATTATTTTTTTATCTAACAAAGGTTTTATCTAAATTTATCTTTTATAATGAACTAGCCGAATGACCCGGGCAAGCCCGGGTTTTACCCGATTAAATGTTTTTATTCAAATAACTAGCGGATGTGTACCCGGCTTCGCCCGGGTTTTATCCGAGTGAAAGTTTGCCTAACGAATATTATATATTATGAAGTATAATAAACAATGTTAAAGATTAGTTTTAATTATTAATCAAGATTGTGTGTGAATATGTGAGAAAGATGTAATATCGTTGTTGTTTTCTTGGCCGACTGTTTTACATATGGTGTTATCTTAAAATTGCTTGTTTTGAATATTTTTTTAGATTGAGTTGAATGAATTGCTGATTTTTTTTTTTTTTTGTATTTATATATAAATAAAATTAACTCTGTTGATTTTTTTGTATTTAATCGATAACAGCGAAGTTACGCATGTTAAAGTTAGGAAAAATATTTTGATGTTAAGCAAAACCTGCTCCATCTTGTGTTACATAAATGTTGAAAATTTGGTCGAAATTGATGCATTGTAACGAAAGTTTTTAGCGAACACCACTTATGAAATTTGCATTTTATTAATATAGATATTCGTTACAATTATAAATTGGCACCGTGGATGTCACTTTTGTGAAACGTCCCGCTCCAAGCTTTGTGTGTTTTTGAAATATAAAAAAATATGTAAATTTTCACAACGATATTTGAAAATTATATTATTTTGATTTTCAAATACTATTCGTTACAATTATAAATTGGCGCCGTGGATGTCACTCTTGTGAAACGTCCCGCTCCAAACTTTGTGTCTGAGAAGCGATATTTTTATAGAAAGATGATCTGGCTTTTGTTTTCTGCTCGAATAATTGTTTTTCTGTTAGAATTTTGTTCCTGGGAACAAAATAATGAACTGGTTTCACCCGTGGTCTCTGCTTTTTGGAATTTTTCCCGATATAATTTTGTATCTGATAATCAAACATGATACAGCAATATCGTCATCATCATTTTCTGACTAAAAATATATAGTTTTAATAATTGATTTATATATTTTTTTAAATAGCCCATCGTCTTCCCCGTATTTTTTTTACCTATGTATAGAAATTTTGGTTTAAATTAGTGAACTACTGCGAATTTGTATACCGGACATACAAACATTCAATTAAAAATAAGTTTTATTTTTATAATTCTCAGATATATCCAAACAAAACATCTTGTTATAGCCCTTTTTAACCTCACAGTTTAAATTAATTAAAAGAAATTTTAATCACTTACCTGTGTTAGAGAGGCTTTACCCGTTTAAACCTGGATAAACCCTTTCACTCCCGGGGCCCATCTATGGTAATTTAAACCAACAACCCTATATTAAAATATACAGTTATCAGAGTCATCAATCAACAAGTCTGCAATCTCTCGAAATATTTTGAGAAAAAAAGTTTTTTTTTCTTTCTTTACAGATCCAGGTACACCCTTTTATATAATTCTGTCACCGTTTGTTTTTGTGAATGGAATAAATACCCAAATATGGCCATTTCTTATGAGCCTCGGTGTTTCAGTGGTAGGTTGCTCGCCTGCCACGCGGGCGGCCCGGGTTCAATTCCCGGCCGATGCATTTTTTTTTGCAATTTTTAAAACTCATTTATATTATTACTAGACGAATGGCCCGGGAAACGCCCGGGTTTTACCCGAGTGCGTATATATTTTAAAAACGTTTTAATTCAAATACTATTCGTTACAATTATAAATTGGCGCCATGGATGTCACTCTTGTGAAACGTCCCGTTCCAAACTGTGTGTTTTTAAAATGTTTTAATTAAAATACTATTCGTTACAATTATAAATTGGCGCCGTGGATGTCTCTCTTGTGAAACGTCCCGCCCCAAACTGTGTGTGTCTTGAAAATATAAAAATAAAAATGTGAATTTTCATAAAGATTTCATCATGTCGATTTTTTTTTTTTTGCATTTCTCACCTACTAAATCGATAGAGATAATTACATTTGCAACATGAACTTAGGTATATTGACTAAATAGAAAACTGCATAGTAATAAAGATAATTTTTTAAAGGCACCATATCGTTTTTTTTTTTTTTCAATAAAATCGAAACAAAAATTAACGATAAATAACGATAATTGCCTTAAAAAGAAATTGCCTTAAAAAAAAAGAAACATTCGCGGTGATTTTGTCTTGCATTCGTTTATACAATTATTATATACGAATGACCCGGGCAACGCCCGGGTTTTACCCGATTAAATGCTTTTATTCAAATACTATTCGTTACAATTATAAATTGGCGCCGTGGATGTCATTCTTGTATAATATATAAATGAGTTTTAAAAATTGTAAAAAAAAAAAAAATGCATCGGCCGGGAATAGAACCCGGGCCGCCCGCGTGGCAGGCGAGCATTCTACCACTGAACCACCGATGGTTATGAAAAAACCCATCCGTGAGCTTCAGACAGACAAACAAACAGACAGAATAAGGCAAATATATAAGTAGACTAGACGAATGGCCCGGGCAACGCCCGGGTTTTACCCGAGTGCGTATATATTTTTAAAACGTTTTAATTCAAATACTATTCGTTACAATTATAAATTGGCGCCATGGATGTCACTCTTGTGAAACGTCCCGTTCCAAACTCTGTGTTTTTAAAATGTTTTAATTAAAATACTATTCGTTACAATTATAAATTGGCGCCGTGGAAGTCTCTCTTGTGAAACGTCCCGCCCCAAACTGTGTGTGTCTTGAAAATATAAAAATAAAAATGTGAATTTCCATAAAGATTTCATTTTTTCTTTTTTTTTGCATTTCACCTACTAAATCGATAGAGATAATTACATTTGCAACATGAACTTAGGTATATTGACTAAATAGAAAACTGCATAGTAATAAAGATCATTTTTTAAAGGTACCATATCGTTTTTTTTCCAATAAAATCGAAACAAAAATTAACGATAATTGCCTTAAAAAGAAATTGCCTTAAAAAAAAGAAACATTCGCGGTGATTTTGTCTTGCATTCGTTTATACAATTATTATATACGAATGACCCGGGCAACGCCCGGGTTTTACCCGATTAAATGCTTTTATTCAAATACTATTCGTTACAATTATAAATTGGCGCCGTGGATGTCATTCTTGTATAATATATAAATGAGTTTTAAAAATTGTAAAAAAAAAAATGCATAGGCCGGGAATCGTACCCGGGCCGCCCGCGTGGCAGGCGAGCATTCTACCACTGAACCACCGATGGTTATGAAAAATCCCATCCGTGAGCTTCAAACAGACAAACAGACAGAATAAGGCAAATATATAAGTAGATTACTAGCGGATGTGTACCCGGCTTCCCCCGGGTTTTATCCGAGTGAAAGTTTGCCTAACGAATATTATATATTATGAAGTATAATAAACAATGTTAAAGATTAGTTTTAATTATTAATCAAGATTGTGTGTGAATATGTGAGAAAGATGTAATATCGTTGTTGTTTTCTTGGCCGACTGTTTTACATATGGTGTTATCTTAAAATTGCTTGTTTTGAATATTTTTTTAGATTGAGTTGAATGAATTGCTGAATTTTTTTTTTGTATTTATATATAAATAAAATTAACTCTGTTGATTTTTTTTTGTATTTAATCGATAACAGCGAAGTTACGCATGTTAAAGTTAGGAAAAATATTTTGATGTTAAGCAAAACCTGCTCCATCTCGTTTTACATAAATGTTGAAAATTTGGTCGAAATTGATGCATTGTAACGAAAGTTTTTAGTGAACAACACTTATGAAATTTGCATTTCATTAATATAGATTATTAATATATACAGTTATCACCGTCATAATCAAGCAACAATTCTTAATCAATTCTGTCACCGTTTGCTTTTGCGAATGGAATAAATACCCAAATATGGCCATTAAAATATACAAGTATCAGAGTAATCAACATAGTGGTAGAATGCTCGCCTGCCACGCGGGCGCCCCGGGTTCCATTCCCGGCCGATGCATTTTTTTTTTTTTTACAATTTTTAAAACTCATTTATATTATTAAAATATATGTGCTTTTCCTGTCTATGTACATATTTATGGTCTATGTATACAAGTACATATACAAGTTATTTGCAAATTGCGTTGCAAATTTGCTCTTTCGCTCGCAAGCAGCGCCTCTAGCGGTGAAGATGGGAGGTAATATCAGCTGACCTAATGCACATGTAAAACGTGTTTTAAAAGGACAGAGAAAAAATTATGGAAGAGATATTTGTCGCATTTTTAGCCAAGAAAAATTGAAATTACAGGTTCTGGGCAAAAGTAGTTTTTTTTTTAGTCAGAAAATGTTTATGACAATATTGCTGTATCATATTTGATTATCAGATACAAAATTATATCCGGAAAAAAATCCAAAAAGCAGAGACCACGGGGGAAGCCAGTTCATTTTTAGTATACAGGAACAAAATTCTAACAGAAAAACATTCATTCGAGCAGAAGACACAAAGCCAGATCATCTCTTTATAAAGGTATCGCTTCTCAGACACAAATTTTGGAGCGGGACGTTTCACAAGAATGACATCCACGGCCCCAATTCATAATTGTAACGAATAGTATTTGAAAAAAGCATTAAATCGGGTGAAACCCGGGCGTTGCCCGGTTCATTCGGCTAGTAGATTATAAAAACAAGGTAATAAGTCCAAATCCAAGGATAAGGCACAATTGGATTATAGATCATAAACACAAGGTAATAAGACCAAATCTAAGGATAAGGTACAATTTGGATTATTAAAATATACAGTTATCAGAATCATCATTCAACAATCAATCAACAATTCTGTCAACGTTTGCTTTCGTGAATGGAATAAATACCCAAATATGGCCACTTTCTATAAGCATCGGTGGTTCTATGGTTGAAGGCTCGCCTGCCACGCGTGCGCCCAGGGTTCGATTCCCGGCCGATGCCTTTTTTATTTTAAACAATTTTTAAAACTCATTTATATTATTAAAATACTAGTAGATGTTCCCGGCTTCGCCCGGGTTTTACTCGAGTAAAGGTTTGTCTAACGAACATTTGTTTAAACAATTCTCTATAAACTTATAAAAAAAATAATAGATATATTTTGATAATTTGAAACTCGTAAATTTGAATCTCTCGATAAAATGAACATTTTTTCCCGGTCCCTTGAAATATGCTCGATAAGTTGAATAAAATCTATATTAATTGGTTCCCTCAGTTATTGGAAGTTAGAGAGGAATAGTATCTTGCCTTGGAATTGTATCATTATTCTTGTCTCAAATAAATTGCCGTGTCATCCTGAATTTTGTCTTTCCTTATTTTCTACATTACAAAATCATCGTTTTATCTAGTGAACATTTTTCCCGGTCCCTTGAAAAATACTCGATAAGTTAAATACAATCAATATTAAAATTTTACACAAATAAATTTACTGGCAATGCGTTTCTTTTTAAATCTCTACAGACCCCTCTCATTCATTAAATCATATCATTGCAGTAAGGTCTGTAGAGATTTAAAAAGAAACGCATTGCCAGTAAATGTATTTGTGTAAAATTTTAACGATAGAGGGCAATAGAATTTAATTTACAATCAATATTAATTAGTTCCCTCGGTAATTGGAAGTTAAAGGAAAAGTATCTTTGCCTTGGAATTGTATCATTATTCTTGTCGAAAATAAATTGCCGTGACATCCTGAATTTTATCTTTCCCAATTTTCTACATTAACAAATCATCATTTTATCTATTCTCCCAATATATATGTTGTAGATAAATGGAAAAACTAACTTTGACTTGTGCACAATTTATAGGTAGAAAATCTTACTTTTGATAAATAATCTTTACGATAATAAACTTAGTGATAATAAAACTTATAGATGAAAAACTTGTTATCATCGTCGCAATGGGGGAGCTGCTTTCGAGTTAAATCTACAAATCTGCAAATAACTCTAAGGATATTCAAGATATTCAAGAAATTATTTTTCAAAAACCTTCCCGGGGATATACCTAATAATATCCCAAATTTTCACGGCGATTGGATGTATGGTTTTTGAATCTATAGAGTACAGACGGACAGACAGAGAGACATTCAATTTTATATATATACTAGCGGATGTACCCGGCTTCGCCCGGGGTTTTACCCGAGTAAAGGTTTGTCTAACGAACATTTGTTAAAACAATTCTCTATAAACTTATAAAAAAATAATAGATATATTTTGATAATTTGAAACTCGTAAATTTGAATCTCTCGATAAAATGAACATTTTTTCCCAGTCCCTGTGTGCCGTGTCATTCCTGGATTTTGTCTTTCCTAATTTTCTACATTACAAAATCATCGTTTTATCTAGTGAACATTTTTTCCTGGTCCCATGAAAAATACTCGATAAGTTGAATAAAATCAATTATAATTTTGGTTCCCTCGGTAATTGGAAGTTAAAGGAATAGTATCTTCACCTTGGAATTGTATCATTATTCTTGTCTCAAATAAATTGCCGTGTCATCCTGAGATAATCTTACTTTTGATAAATAATCTTTAAGATAATAAACTTAGTGATAATAAAACTTATAAATAAAAAAAATTGTTAACATCGTCAATGGTGGCGCTGCTTGCGAGTTAAATCTACAAATCTGCAAATAACTCTAAGGATATTCAAGATATTCAAGAAATTATTGGGGGTCGGTGGAAGACTGGTTAAACCGTTTGGTTTTCGACCACTAGGACCCGAGTTCGATTCCCGCATTGGACACTTTTTTCTGTTTAAAAAAAAAATGCTCCAATGGCCCCCGATTCTTGCAAAAGTCCAACCCCCACCAGCGAGTGCAAGTAATCAAACGGGGCTCTGGCATTTGTAAGTGCAAAGTCGAACTGCTTTTCACATGTGTAGACATGTGGTGCGCTTACAGTAAAAAGCAGTCGTTAACTACCCATCATAATTATCATGGCCTGTACCACGTGTACTAGGGATAAGCAAAAAAAAAAAAAAGAAATTATTTTTCAAAACCCTTCCCGGGGATATACCTAATAATAAAAATAAAGAAGGCATCTCCTGACCATTGACTCCTGGTCAGGAGATGCCTTCTTTATTTTTAATATCAACACCTGACCCACTTATCTATTATTTTTTTCTATTGTTTTTTCATACCTAATAATATCCCAAAATTTCACGGCGATTGGATGTATGGTTTTTAAATCTATAGTGTACAGACAGACTGACAGACAGACAATCAATTTTATCCCTATATCCCTATATATAGTCACGACCGTCTTTCCTCATCGCTGTCCTCAATTCCTCATGTCACGGATGCGCGCGCATCATCATTATGATCATTATCATTATCTAATGATAATAATAATAAAAATAATAATTATTATTATTTTATTATTATCAACATATATAGTCACGACCGTCTTTCCTCAATTCCTCATGTCACGGATGCGCGCGCATCATCATTAGATAATTATCATTATCTAATGATAATAATAATTATAAATAATTATTATTATTATTATATTATTATTATTATTTTATTATTATCAACATATATAGTCACGACCGTCTTTCCTCAATTCCTCATCGCTGTCACGGATGCGCGCGCATCATCATTATGATCATTATCTTCTATAGAAGCTTCTATCTTTATAATTATGTATATTTACAAAAAGTCAATTCGCTCGCGCCTCTAGCGGTGAAAATGAGGGGTAATACCAGCTGACCTAATGTAGATGCAAAGTTTGGAGCGGGACGTTTCACAAGAGTGACATCCACGGCTCCAATTTATAATTGTAACAAATAGTATTGGAATAAAAACATTCAATCGGGTAAAACACGGGCGTTGCCCGGGTCATTCGTCTAGTTAACATATATAGTCACGACCGTCTTTCCTCATCGGCCTCAGTCACGGATGCGCGTGCATCATCATTATGATCATTCTCATTATCTAATGATAATAATGATAATAATAATAATAATTATTATTATTATTAATCAGCATATATAGTCACGACGGTCTTTCCTCATCGGCCTCAGTCACGGATGCGCGCGCATCATCATTATGATCATTATCATTATCTAATGATAATAATAATAATTATTATTATTATATTATTATTATTATTTTATTATCAACATATATAGTCACGACCGTCTTTCCTCAATTCCTCATCGCTGTCACGGATGCGCGCGCATCATCATTATGATCATTATCATTATCTAATGATAATAATAATAATTATTATTAGTATATTATTATTATCTATATATATAAAAATGAATGTATGTGTGTGTGTCTGTTTGTCCTTTACGCCTAACCAAACCACTCATTGGAACGCCATGAAACTTTGGGAAGTTATTTAGTATAGTACTGGGAAGGTTTCTAGCAAATAAAATTTTTGAAATAACTTTTCGCTTTAAAATAATCAAGATAAATATTCTAATTTATCTGTTATAATTCAACAATCTGCTCTAAATATTATCATGATGATACGATGATTTTGTAATGTAGAAAATTAGGAAAGACAAAATTCAGGATGACACGGCAATTCATTTGAGACAAGAATAATGATACAATTCCAAGGAAAGATACTATTCCTTTAACTTCCAATTACCGAGGGAAGCAATTAATATTGATTTTATTCAACTTATCGAGTATTTTTCAAGGGACCGGGAAAAAATGTTCACTTTATCGAGAGATTCGTTAGACAAACCTTTACTCGGGTAAAACCCGGGCGAAGCCGGGTACGTCCGCTAGTCTATATATATAAAAATGAATGTATGTGTGTCTGTTTGTTTGTCCTTTATGCCTGACCAAACCACTCATTGGATCGCCATGAAACTTTGGGAAGTTATTTAGTATAGTACTGGGAAGGTTTCTAGCAAATAAAATTTTTGAAATAACTTTTCGCCTAGAAATAATCAAGATAAATATTCTAATTTATCTGTTATAATTCAACAATCTGCTCTAAATATTATCATGATGATACGATGATTTTGTAATGTAGAAAATTAG